TTTTAAATATTTCACAGTTGGCCTTTTCGTTCAATTTCATGATACCATACTAAAATTTATAATGGGATAAATAATCAAAAAAGTTTATATTTCATGAAGGCGTTCACTAGTCTAAAAATCTACTATCTCAACTTTTAAAAAAGCCACAGTGCAATAAATAAGTTTGCTAAAGCAGCAAAATGCTTTCACTGCCTTGGTGACTTGCCCTCTGCCATGCATTTTAAGTGTCGTGTTAGCTGCAGCTGTTGAATTACAGAAATCACCACACTTGTGCCTGACTCTACACATTTGCAGTCCATAACACCTTTATGGCACTCAGGAAAGGAGGTCCCCCTTGATGAAATCTCACTGTTTATATATGTCCTCATATTCTCCGAGGGTGGCATACAACTGAAAGCTAAAGATCATTCAGATCAGCTGTCCCTCTTCTAGTGAGCTTGTTGTGTTTTTCCTTTACCAAGATCCTGACAGAATACATGAGGAAATACAAAAGTACTGTATTTATTGAAAGAAGGCCTGAACTGTAAATCAGGATTATCACATAAAATAAAGAGCATAATCTACAATGCCAGGCTGAATATTTCCAGATGGGTCTTTTCAGTCTTCCTTGCTAAAGAACACATCTTAGAAAAGGGATCCTTGTGGATCCCCACCTTTTCCACCTGTAATTATGTTCCTGTGATTGGTTATAATAATCTAACATAATCTCTATGTCAATTCCAAAAATTATTTTATGAAAAATTTCATTTTAGAAGTAATGACTAAGCAGCTTCTTCCAATGTGGACAGTAAAAGCCAGATTAATGCCTGTAAACCTGCTCTGGGTAAGGGGGATAAGCAAGAGCAACCCTGGGCTGCAGGTGGAGCCAGCCCAGTCTAGGGGGCACCTCCAATGTTTCTGCTCTCTACCAAAGTACTTTAGCTGTGTCTCAAAACCTTTGGGCAGCATGTTAATTGGCTTCTAATGTTCTTGCATACTAATGCCCTTAAAGCTTTGGGGACTATTCCAATAACATAATAATAATGTTTAATAATAAAAGAGGTATATTTTAAAACAGGATCCATCTCTACAGAATAGAAAGTCCATACAAAGTTGCATATCAGGCAAGAGCATAAATAGAATTGTGGCTGCAGAACAGTACTCCCACCTTCAGCACCTTCTCCCACAGATATGCACCATTTCAAAATTTGAAAAGATAGCTTTGAAAAGACAGAACAGCCTCTGCAGAATTATTTGGTTTCCTGGTTTGCTATTTATGAACACCTGTATATTGGGGCTGCCTCAGGAGGCAGCACAAGCTATTGATAGTGCTGGGAATCACAGCAGTCACTCAATAGTGTGCAAAATTGAACCAATTTCTTTACCTCCTCATTTCTGTCTCCCTTCCTTCTTTCTGCCCAATTGCAGTGAAAGCCCACTGTTGCATGGCCTGTCTTTCACTGTATTAATGCAACACCTCTCAAAATAACACACTAAACTTGTTTTGTCTGTCTCCCCAAATTAGGGTTTTCATGCGGCCAGTGAGGCACATAAACCCTGACCCTTTTAAGTTCAGTTCATCTATTTTTCTGAACGGTACTTCAAAGAACTGGGAGAGACGTGGCTCCTTTGGATAGGGGACAAGGAATGCGTGTGCCAGAATTTGTGCCGGGAACACCTACACTTTGAACCCTGAACCATGTATCTCCAAACTTTACTTAAATACTTTCTGTTAGGAAGAAAGGAACAATGCAAGCCCAACTCTTCAAAGCAATATAGACCATTCTGCATTTGTACACATATTTAGGAGAAGCTTTTGAAACTAACAGGCAATAGACATGCATAGCACCGCATACTTAATGCTGTATTACTTCTTTACAGGAAAATACGGCATGTAAGTTTCCTAGAAATCAAGTAGCAGCATGCAGCTGAAGTAATTCAATGATTTGTTCCTGTACATGGGAGTAAAAATCAACAACACAAAAGTCCACCATAATCCATAATAAAGTTCTACACAAGAAAATTCAGCATATAAGAGGAAGAGGATATTTTTTTATTTTTTCCCTGATTGGAGGGAACAAGGAATTACATAGCAGCTCTGTAACAGTTAAGAGGGGACATTTATTTCATAGCTTTGGTGAGATCACAATCAGTTTTATCTCACTCTCCCATCAGTGAGACAATGTGTGAAACCTTGTGGAAGTAGTGGTAAATTTGGATATTCTGAGGAAAAAAAAAAGGTGTAAGTCAGTGCCAGACTTTGAAGACAGACATCAACTCACGCTTGAGGACAGCTACTCTCTGTGCTGTTACCTTCCTCCAAAATTTGTCACCTGCTTCATCCAACTGTCCCTCCCCTTTCATTGCCAGGGTTTCAAAAGAGATGAAGACTCATGCAAAAGCATTTCCTTAAACTTGTAATTATTTTAACACAGTGGATCATGAGGCTCATAAGGCTCAAAACACCTTACTGAGAATTACTATCTACAAATATATGTTTCTTTCCTCCTAAGTGTCTCATGAACAGTTTTCCATTCAAAAAAATGTTTCAACAGCTAGAAAGTGGCAGGAGAGAAGGGAGTTACTAGGAAGAGTAATGGAGATGTTTGGTTTTTTCTCTCCTGCTTGAATTATAACCACTGAGAGGGAAAGATGAAAACATTAATGAAGAAAGTGAAAATACCACCATCACCATGAAAAGCATAGTATATCCTTCTTTTGTGGTACTCAGTCAATCTTAGTAAAAGCATATTTTGCCAAGATGAAGGTTACATCTCCAACAGGTGAATAAGGACTTGATGCATAAAGAGCTGGATAAAACTTCATAACCTTCATTATACAGGAGACTGGTTACAGCAGTCTCTCTTGAAATTAGTAAGGGACACCTCTAAAAGTTGCAAGAGAGAACACACCAAACAAGGTTGTGCCTACTACCTTTTCTGGGATTATACTTTAGAAGATGGGAGAAGATGACAAGGCCCTGTGGAAACATAGAGCTGAGAAGGATACCTTCTAGAAGTCCTGTTTGATAACTCTGTTGCCAAAATAGTTTTATAAGTGGCAGTGATGTGTCCTTGTGTTCACAAGGAGATGAGAGTGGCATTCTGAAATGGTTGGGTTTTAGGAAGTGGGGGCATAAGGGAGCCAGAAGGGAAATATCAAGAGAAAAAATATCCAATTGCTCTTTGTCCATCCACTAGCTTTAGACTTGAGTAGGATGAAAATTTTAACTCAATGACTTGTCCACTGGAGACTTCAAAACAGTGATTTGTGCTAGTACAAGTTCTGGCTCCTAATCTGTTGCAGATTACTTGCT